CCTGGTAAATACTCACTTCACCAATCCACATCACCAAACTCTGAGGCTTGGGATCTGAATGAAGAAGGGGGTGAGTCGGGAGAGATGGCCACGACACGCAAGGGCCCGCCTGCTGTCACCTCCCAAGGAGATTAACCCCTAAGGTAGTGAATGCCTTAAAAACGTAAAACTCTGAAAGTCTGATTTGTCAAACTGACCCTTGTACCTCTTCTTAGAGTTATTGGGTTTTCTAAGTCTCCCTTTCTTCTACTCTTAAAGAACTTCTCAAACCCTTAAGGACAAAATGATGAGGTTCTCAAACTTTAAAAGCACACATCACACTCAGATAAGCAACCATACCGTCAGACCAAGAAAGAAAGTAAGAGAAATCAGTTTCTCTCCTGACTTCTGACTTGGTGCAATCAACATGCACCTACAAGCCTCACACACAGGGTCTCCAAAGGGACACAGAGCACTGAGCATAGTCCTACCCTCGGCTAGGAGGGGCAGACATGCTCCAAGCAAACTGCAGTCTGCACATCACCTGTTCTGCTTTCCAAAAATGAGGCTCAGCTTGGGCGCACTCAGACGTGTAAAAACAAAGTTTTGTTCTCACATATCCCAAAAGATTCACCTAGAAACTTCCTTCTGAAAGAGTTTCTCTTCCACTGTCCTATCAAAACCATGAAGACTGGAGAAGGTGCTAGAGTGACCCAGAAATGGCTCAATACAGAAGCTAGACAAGGGAGAGGCACAGGGTATCCTGAGTCAGCACACACCCTGTCCCCTGGTTCCCCCGCTGTGGGGGAAACACTGAGGAAGTCTCACTCAGTTCCTGTGAACATTATGCTAGTGATCGTAAAGAAAAATAGGTGCCTTTGGGTGGTTTTGAACACAGCCACTGAGAAAATTATGTAAGTCTGGCCCGTAGAGCCAGTGACTGAACGTAGATCCATCCCCTGGAGGCACTGAAAGGGGAGAGAGGATTAGCTTCTTCTGCAATTTGATGGGACATTTTCTCATAGACGAATTACAGGTGGGAAGGGACAGGATGTGGGCTGAAGTATAAGCTTGCTGCCTTTACTCACCCGCTTAAACGTCCCATTAAAATAGGATTCAAACAGGATAGATGGGAACTAAATTCACCACAGAAACACAAAGAATCTGTACAGCTATTGCTTCAACCCCCCCCCCCTCAATTCTACAACCATTTCTTGCCTGAGGCAATTTTGGTCACCGAAACCATTATAATCTCAAAACAAACATGATTCTAAGATTAAGTCATGCAGATTTAAAAACTAAAGGATACTATAACTTATCTTTGATCAACCAAAAGTTAATGTTTTGTCAGGCTAAAGAAGGCAAGCACTTTTCCAGATCCTGTATTTTCTTCAATCCTCAAAGAGGAAAATGCCGGTTTTTACCATAAATTAACAATATTTAACATCAGTTAAGGGCAAAACAACTTAAGTTTTTCACTATTACAGGTCAAAAGCCCTTAGGATAAAAACAAGCACAAGAAAGGGGCACCTGGGTGGCTCAGTTGGTTAAGTGTCTGACTCTTGATTTCAGCTCAGGTCATGATCACAGGGTCCCGGGACTGAGCCCCTCATCCGCACTCAGCATGGAGTCTGCTTGGGATTCTCTCTCCCTCTGCCTCTGCCCCTCCTCCCACTCACTCTCTAAATAATAAACAAATAAATAAAATCTGGGGGAAAAGAAAACCCAAACCACAAAAAACAAAAACCAGAGAGAAATCCAAACAGGGAAGATTAGAAAGGAGATGCAGCGAGTAAGGGTGATGCGGCCACTGGAACTTCTGCACCATGCAGAAGCAAGTCACTGCGCACAACAGGACCAGAGCCTGATGCAGAAGGAATCATGAAACCATGAAGGCACCATGAAGGCATGTTACTGTAATGGGAAATCTAGACAAAGAACAGAGGTGGGTGCTCCTCTGTCACCTCCCCCAGTCCTCACCACCCATCCTAGGAAGGCAGGTACTACCAGGCCCACTGCAGAGGTGGAAAAGTTTGGAGTGCCTGAAGCAAGACAAGCCAGAGCTGGAGGTGTATGAGGAGAAACCAAACCTCCCAGGTTTCTACAGCCCTGGAGGTGCTAAGTAGCGCCGTTCAGGCGTCCAAAACTTGATAAAATACCAACTCCTTTATTTCAATTCATAACTTAATGCTTTTCTGATTTGGGTTAGGGGACCACATTAGGTCAGATGCAGCTCTCGGGGACACAGTCTACCATCTGTTCTTGCTGTTCAGTTCAGATGACCTTTTTAAATCGGTCTTTGCATAGGCAAAGCCAAGATGTCAGGTTGGAGACAGCAAGCCTCCCTTCAACAGGCAAAGCACCACTGTCCTTCTCTTCCAGTCAGATCATCAGTCAGGTTACCCCGGTGTCTCAGACTCACACAAACGCAAACCCATCAGGCACTGGCTAATTCAATCTGCTAGCAAGCTTCTTCTGCACGGCTCACTTCCCTCACCACTCACCTAACCCACCTAAAATAACATGGCATTTACCCCTCTCCATTCCCTTCTCTTCGTTTTCTACTTCCCTTGTTCTGCTTCCTTTTCCTTCATACCTCATTTAACCACCTAACACGCCATGACTTGCTTGTTGTCTGGTTCTCTTCTTGCATAGCAGGGACGGTGCAGCAAGATCACCGAATGAGAAAATAACTGCATGGAAGCCTCTGGAACATAAGCTTCCCTTGAGGGTACATCTTTTAACTGTAAAGCAGATTGTGACTACTTCTCCAGCTCTTGCATGCCCTCCCTCTTCAGTCTGCAAATAAAGCACAGCAGCCCATGAGGCATCCTGTTCACCATGGTATCTCCAGCTTGTTGATCCTCAACAACGAATGACCCAGTCTGGGGAAAGAAACTCAAAGATCATCCAAGTTCCTTCATAACTAAAACCACCGAGGTCCGTGGAAGTTCAGTGGCTCGTGACACACTTGTGCTTGCTGTACATCAGTTACCGACTTCCACTGTGTGTTAATAACCAGAACAGCCCTCTGCAATGCTGAGATGCCACAGGCAAAAGGCTCCGTTTTCACTGGTATTTCTAGAAACAAACTGACTCGCAACATCTCCAAAATGAGTAGAGATGAAAGACAAAAGTTCATTACTAAAGACAGGACAGAAGATGAATCCATGAAATCCTTCTTCCTCTTTCACTACTGTCTGAAAACCACCAAACTTTTCTTGGATCAAAATTCAGAAACTCCACATTTGTGCATTAGAAAAAAATTAAGTCAATGGGATCACTGCCTCCTGGGATATATCAATCAATACAGAAATAGAACAGGGGCGCCTGTGGCTCAGCGGCAGAGCAATCGACTCTCGGTTTCGGCTCAGGTCATAATCTCATGGGTCCTGAGATGGAGCCCTGCCTGCTTCAACCTCCTCACTCCGCGGGGCATCTCCTTGAAGAGTCTCTCCCTCTGCCTCTCCCCTTGTTGTTGCTCTCTCTAAAATAAATAAATCTTTTTTTTTAAGATTTTACCTATTTATTTGAGATAGAGAGAACAGGGACAGGGGAGCAGAGGGAGAGCGAGAAGCAGACTCCCCTCGGAGCAGGGAGCCCAATGCGGGGCTCGATCCCAGGACCCTGGGACCATGACCTGAGCTGAAGGCAGACGCTTAACCGACTGAGCCACCCAGGCGCCCCTAAAATAAATAAATCCTTAAAAAAAAAAAAAAAAGAAATAGAACAACGTTAAAACATGGAATTCTATTTCATACTATGTAGCCCCAAGGAAGGCATACGGCACGTAAGTATTTAAAAGTGAAGGCACTAGAGCAGGACGGACCTTAATTGCAAGGTGAGGGAAGCCCCTGGCCAGTTCTGATCTTACATTAGCCCTTCTATAAAACGGCGCTTTCCTGCAGGACCGGTTTAAGAGTTACAAGGCGGCCACCGCGCAGGGAAGGCGGTGGTCGCCGCCGCCAAGCCCCGTTCCTCCGTTTCCCCCGCCCGTACGCCGTGACATCCGGCGCAGCCGGATGGCGTCACCGCGGCGTCGAGCACCGCCCCCGCCCCGAAGCACCGGCGGGCAGAACCTCCCCGCTCACCTGCCGGGCTGTTCCGCCGGGGGCCCTTACGCCTGTCCTGGCCGTCCTGCCGCCTCTTGGGCGACCGCCGCATCTCCACAGCACAGCGAGCGGCCCGGCCGCCGGCAGCCGCCACCAGCGGGTGAGACAATCCCGGGCCCCGACCTCGCGCCGCTCGAGCGCGCGCAGGCGCAAAACAGCACCACACACCGGAGCCGGTCCCTGCGCGCTCCGGAGACCTCGCGCGTGCGCACTAAGGAGACCTCGCGCGTGCGCACTAAGGACACGGCGCCGGCTCGGCACGTCTCCGTGGGTGTCGACTCTATCGCCTGATTTTTTAAGGATCGGAACGTGTGCGCGGTCTTCTCTTACCCAGGCGGTGGAGCGTAGAAACCCCAGCGACCGGCTCGGGGCCCAGATGCTATGACTGTCGACTGATTTTAAGTCGGGCACCTCCCAAGGACACATACTTCCCGGGTCCTCCATGGGAAGCGGCTCGCGGGAGCGCACGCCAGCCCCCGCTCCGTCCCTCTCCGCGGCCGCTGCCGCCGGCGCCCCTCGGGAGCGGCCTTCCCGGCTGGACTGCTGCTTCCGTGTCCGTCGCGAACGAAGGCACTGACTCGGGGTGTGCCGGGCAGCATTATTCCCCTCACGGCCTTGTTTTCTGGATCACAGAAACCCGCGCTGGCTGTAATGTTCCTGCAGAGGTGCTGTCCGGGGATCGGACGCCCTGACCCCAGGGGCCCACGCTGCCTACCTTCCAGTCGAGCAGGAGCCAGCCGGTTTCTGCGACAGCGGGGCCGGCCAGCCTTTGCTGACCTTTTCACGTCTCCGGCCTGCACCTCCTGGCAGCCACATTTTCTCTCCCCTGTTTTGCAAAGGAGCATAGAGTAGCCGTGGGCCATCTTGCACGTGAGACTGCTGTGATTTTATTACATTTTGGAGGCAAAGATGCCTGGGAAGAGGTCCCTGAATGCAGCGGTCTTCCCAAGTGCCAAAAGGGAACGGAAAGCAATTACCCTCGACATAAAATTGGAAGTGTTAAGACGATTTGAAGTGGGTGAAAAGCTCAGCCAGATCGCAAAGGCCTTAGGCCTCGCTGTTTCCACAGTGGCTACAATCCGAGATAATAAAGAAAAAATCAAAGCGAATTCACAAATAGCTACTCCCTTGAGAGCTTCCCGGTTGACTCGCCATCGAAGTGCAGTCATGGAGACCATGGAGCGCCTGCTGCATGTGTGGCTTGAAGACCAGAGCCAGAGAAACGTGCCCCTGAGTGTCACCATTATTCAGGAGAAGGCTAAGAGTTTGTTTGATGACCTACAGCGTGAAAGAGGCGGAAGCTCTCAAACAGAAAAGTTTAGTGCAAGTAAAGGGTGGTTTGTGAGATTCAAGGAGCGCCATTGTTTGCCCCACTTCAAGATGAACAGCACAGCTCCTGGAAACAAGGATGTATATCCAGAAGTACTGAGGAGCATCATTGAAGAAGGTGAGTATACCCCTCAGCAAGTTTTTAATGTAGATGAGACAGGGCTTTATTGGAAGAGAATGCCTGAAGGAATGTTTATTTCTGTGGAAGAGCAAGCTGAGCCAGGCTTTAAATCTTCCAAAGATCGCTTGATGCTGCTTCTTGGTGGTAACGCAGCTGGGGACTTTAAGTTGAAGCCCTTACTGGTGTACCACTTGGAAAATCCCAAGGCTCTGCAAGGGTACTCCAAGCCCAATTTGCCTGTGATTTGGCGCTCAAACAAAAAGGCATGGGCAACCAGGAGCATCTTTCAGGAATGGTTCACATACTTCTTTTGCCCCGCCGTTGAAAAATACTGTGCCCAAAATCATCTCACCAACAAAGCGTTGCTCATCCTAGACAGTGCACCATGCCACCCAGTAAATCTGGGTGATCTGTCTGATAATGTAAGAGTGGAGTATCTTCACAGCAGTACAACTGACTCAGTCCAGCCCATGGGTCAAGGCATAACCTCTACCTTCAAAGCTCATTACGTGAGAAGAACTTTTGAGCACATCCTAGAAGCAACAGATGGAGAGGATACAGCCATGATCAGGGAGTTTTGGAGAAACTACAGCATCATGGATGCTGTAGACAACATTGCGGTAGCTTGGGAGGAGCTCAGACCAGCAACAATGAACAGTGTGTGGAAGAAGATTTGGCCAGAGTGTGTTCAGTTCCAGAGTGTTTCCCAAACAGATAACATTGTACAGCTTCAACAAAATATTGTGACCCTTGCCAAGAATGTGGCTTTTGAAGAGGTTGTAGAAGCTGATGTGGACCAGTTGCTGAGGTCCCATGAGGAAGATCTCTCAAATGAGGAGCTGATGCAGCTGGAACAGGAGCCTGCAGGAGAGGAGGAGAGTGAAGATGCTCCACCTGCCCTGCGCCAGTTAACCACAGGAGAGCTGTCAGCAGCCTTCTCACATTTCGAGGCAGGCTTGCAAGTCCTTACCAGTAACAGCCCTGATGACGAGTGGAAACTGCAAGTTTCAAGAGCAATCAATGATGCAATAAACTGCTACAGGGACCTGTACAAGGAGAAAAAGCGACGCTCAAAGCAACTCTCTTAGGTCAGTTTTCAGTGGTGTAACCAAACGTTCATCAAAATACAGCCAGATGCAACAAGATGACCTCAAGGGATGAGGCCCAGCCAAGGCTCTCTACTTCCAAGATGCTTTACAACTCTGTTTCTGGTATTTTCATTTTGACACTTGAAAGTATCAAATTTTGTCATTAAAATTTCATTTAAATATGTGCTTTAGGGGCGCCTGGGTGGCTCAGTCGTTAAGCGTCTGCCTTCGGCTCAGGTCATGATCCCAGTGTCTTGGGATCGAGCCCCGCATCGGGCTCCCTGCTCCGCGGGAAGCCTGCTTCTCCCTCTCCCACTCCCCCTGCTTGTGCTCCCTCTCTCGCTGTGTCTCTCTCTGTGTCAAATAAATAAAATCTTTAAAAAAAAAATATGTGCTTTAGAATAATTGCATGCAAGAATACTCAGGAAAATATTTCTTTAAAAAGAGAAAACGGCAGAGAGGAGACTATAAAGCTTCTGTGATTAAATCAGTGCAGTAGTTAGACCTGTGGAATAAGATAGAAAGCCCAGAGGTTTTTTTTTTTTTTATGGTGCAAGACAACTGGTTAATCATTTGGAAAAAGATAATATTAGATCCATGCCTCACAACATACATAAGAATGAACAAACAGATCAGGGATCCAAAAGTAAAAAATGAAACCATACAAATACTACAGAAACACATAGATGAATGCCTCTTTGACCTGGTTGCTGGGAAATTTTCTTACTTAAAATCCAGATGAAATAGGAAAAGTCAATCAATTTGACTATATAAAAATGTAACAAAAGAACTTTTCCAACGGGGGCACATCACTACAAACAAGGTCAAAAGCAGTTGACCAACTGAAAGAAAATATTTGCAATGTGATATCCCTGATATGTGAAGAACTCTTAGGATTAAGAAGAAAAAAACACCAAAAATGAAACAGGAAAGGGGACAAAGGATAGAATTCACAAATAAATAAATTAGATCTTGAAGCATATGAAAAGAAGTTCAGCCTCGTTCATAATTTGAGAAATGCAAATTAAAGCTACACAGAAAACACATCTCACTAGATTGGCAAATAATCAGAAAGTATGACTACACATTCTGTTGGGGAGGCTCTGGGGTAACAGGCACCTCATACATTGCTGATAGGAAAGCAAATTGGTACAACCCTTATGGAGGGGCAACTAGACATTCATAAAAAAACATTTCTTTTGATTTAACAATCCCACTATTAGGATTGTACCCCGAAGTTATACCTCCAACAAAAGAAAATGCATGTGCATAGATTATTTGTTGTATCCTCGTTTGTAACTGCGAAAGTGAGGAGACAGCCTGAATATTCATCTACAGAAGAGTGTTCAAATCTGAAATGACTGTTGTACACAATGGACTATAATCTAGATGTAGGTGATGAAACACTAATAAAAGAGGAAGAACGGGTGGGGAGTGGTTTCCAGGGAATACTATTAATTGGAAAAAGCAACACACAAGACACTAGTATGCTGCCATTTTTGTGGAAGAAAGGGAAGGAAAGGAAATATATATGGATCTTACTCATTTTTGCAAAAAGAAACACAGGAAGGAGAAACCAGACTAGAGATTGGTTACCTGGTAGGGGGAAGGAGTGGAAAGGAGCAAAGGTATGAGAGGGGAGGGGGATATCTGACAGGCCTTTTATAAAGTTTTCTTTCTTTGAAGGGGCACCTGGGTGGCTCAGTCAGTTAAGCATCTGCCTTCAGCGTGGGTCATGGTCCCGGGATCAGGAACCGCATCGGGCTTCCTGCTCAGCGGGGAGTCTGCGTCTCCCTCTGCCCGCCGTGCTCCCTGTTCATGCCCTCTCTCTCTCTCTCTCTCTCAAATAAATAAAATCTTAGGAAAAAAATAACAATTAGCTTGTGTTTTTTAAAGGTATCCATGTCATGCACCCTTCCAAAATAAAAACGGCTAAATATATGTAGCAGCCGAATGGCAAAATCTGAATAAATTTTGTTGTACATTCTATGATACCATGTTGGTGTTAATTTCCAGGGATAATTGAACTGTGGCCATGTGATGTCCTTGCTTGGGAGGAACAGACACAGGTATTTAAAGGAAAAGGGGCATCACCTCTGCAACTTATTGCCAAATGGTTCAGAAAAAGAAATGTGCATATGTGAAGAAAGAATATAGCAAATGGGGCAAATGTTAATATTTAGGGAATCCAGGAGATGAATAAATGGGAATGTTTTTGCAGTGTTTCTGTAAACCTAAGTTTGTCAAAGTATAAATGGTAAAAATACTATTGCATCACCTGAAAGAGAGGGAAAACATACTTCATCTTTCATCAACTATCCGAAGGGTAGCTTTACAGTTATTTGTAGTTGGAGGTGTGTGCTCACACATGCCGGCATCAGGCCCACAGACAGCCCTTCCACACCATCCCTCCAGCTCTCCGGTTTCTTTAGGCATAGAGTTGCAGTCTGTCAGCCTATCTGAATTGCAACTGGGTGTGGATGATGTATAAAGGCACCTTCTAAAGCAGAAGATTCCATATGTCCTCTGGGTCATGGCCCCTTTGAGATCCTGGTCACAACTGCAGATCATATCTCTGAAAAGAATGTACATATACAGGGGCTTGGATGTAATTTGGGAGGGGGGCAGTTATGGTTCTCCCGAAGACCACAGGAATGGTCTGGAGTTGCAGTGAGGGCTCTTTTTGGATCTAGCTTGTGAAAGAGGCTGCCAGGGGCGCCTGGGTGGCTCAGTTGGTTGGGCGACTGCCTTTGGCTCGGGTCATGACCCTGGAGTCCCGGGATCGAGTCCCACATCGGGCTCTCTGATCGGCGGGGGGTCTGCTTCTCCCTCTGACCCTCTTCCCTCTCGTGCTCTCTGGCTCTCATTCTCTCTCTCTCAAATAAATAAATAAAATCTTAAAAAAAAAAAAGAAAAAGAAAAGAAAGAAAGAGGCTGCCAGGAGCTGGACATGTGACTTGCCTGACCAGCTGGTTTCTCAATGACTGCATTGGGTGAACGAGATAATCCTTCCACAATGAGGACTCTAGAAGACACAGTTTCTATTTACTGAGCATTCTCTGCATGCCAGGCTCAGTGCTCAGTGCCTCCTAGAACCTAAACACCCCACAAGGTATGTGTTTTCATCATTCACAGAAATGGAGCTGAGGGGAATCCACACACTTAGCCCTCTGACACCCATCAAGAACTCCTCCCCAGAACAGATCACATTGGACCCCACTAGATGGGGAAGACTGTGGGCTTTCCCTAAGCCTGCACTTGGTCTGCATGTTGACAAACCCTGCCTTGTCCCCAATTCACCACACACACCAGAGTCTAGAGAAAACGGATTTAATGAGACAGCGGCTGCGGCATTATTACAGCTAGATATCCCTACTGCTCTTCTGTGAAGGGCTGGCCATGCAAACTGGTTCTTCGGCGGGTTCTTGTACCGTGCCGTGGACTCCCAAGACGCACACGTGATTTTGTTTAAAAACTCTGCCATTCAGAAAGGGTAGGTGGAGATAACTGGGGAGGAGGAAATGGGGGCAGTTAAAAAGAAAAGGGAGCCAACTCTTCCGCCAGCAGATGCCAGCATATTAACGCTTCCTATGGACACAGTGATTATGACTGGAATAATGTGATGTTCGTTACACAGTATATTCGGGAATGGCCAATATCCTTATGACAGAAATGTAATGCAGTGGTGAGAAGTGTGCAGATCTGGGGGTATAGGAAAAGGGCGTTTGGCCCTTAAGCCCCTCTTCAGCCCTAGAGAGGAAGGGGAAGCAGGACAGGGACCTGCCGTTGACCCAACCTCACCAGGGTTTGCTTCGCACTGTTTCCCCAAGGCAGATCAGAACACACCGCAAGAGGACTGCCTTAAAGCCACCACATGAGGCTTTTCTGATGGTGCAGAGAAGCGAGGAGGAGGGGACACTGTCTTTATCCAACCCTCTTATTGGCCAGCAAGCTAAGCTGACCTTTCTGCTGCAGGTCGCAGACGACAGATGTCCAAGTGGCTATGTTCCACCACCTCCACCCATGCGTGTCAACCGTGCCCATCAGCAGCCAAGGACAATCTGGGCAAGAGGGCACAAAAGACTGGAGAGCCACATCCAGAAACGTCCGCCTCCCACAGGCCACCCCCTCTATAGCAGGGTCTCTAAAGCACGAAGCATCCCTGCAAATACCGAGGCCGACGCTCCCCCGGTGAAGTGCTGTGGGTTCTCATGCTCTGGCCAGGGGTTCCATTTGTCAGCTGGTATACAGGACCTTCCACATCCCATGCCCCGGTCTTCCTGCACACGCTCTGGGATTCCTGCCCAAAGCTCCCTTGAGCAAATATTCCCAGTGCCTGACCTCAGGCCCCCAAACAAAAGGCCACAGGCTGGTGGTGGTCTATGAGCTGTCCGGAGCCCTCCACTGGCACATGGAGCTCCTCAGGCAAACAGGCCAACGGCAGCCAACCCTGTTGCCTAACCTAGAACCTCCCCCAGGGTCACAGTCCCTGCTCCAAACTGGGAAGCAGGACAGCCTCCTCCAACTGGACCCCCAACCACCCAGCCTAGAGCACCACCGTAAGCTGGGAGAGCAAAGGCCAGAGCAGGGGCTGGTCCACCAGGGGGAAGAGCTTCACAGCCCCCTTCCCTCCCTGTTGTACAGAAGTGGGAACCCCCAGGGCTGGCCCTGTCAGAGGAGAACCCAGAGGGAGAGAACTTTGGGAGGCAGGAGCAGGGCCCTCAGGAGACAGTCGTGAACAACTACAAGTCCCCACACAAGGGGCCACGGGGATGGGGGCCTCCAGGTAGATCCAAACCATCCACTGCAGAGAAAACTCGGGCCCAGCCTGGGTGTCTGCAGCCAGTATTCCCAAGGCTCGTCGGCCACTCCCCCAAAGCCCTCTGGGGGTTCTCAGGGTGGCCAAAGCCCAGCGGCCTTGGCCCCAAGTGCCTTCCCAAGGCTCTTTGCCACAGGGGGTGGGGAGAAGACTTTCCCCACTTCCCTGCTTATGGAGCCCTGCAGCCTCCACAGCAACACACCCAGGAAAGAGCCAGGCGAGACTGCCCCAAGTCCCAGCAAGTGCCTAGGAGAGGGACGATGGTCCTCATGGTGCTGCTTACACCCCTCTGGCCCAGCACAGGTGAGAGGTCCAGGGGCTGCACCCTAGGGGTCTCCAGAACACAAGAAACATCTTGACTTTGGCAATGACCAGCAGTTTGGATGCCAGAGAGGCCTGGGAGGGATTCCTGTTGCTCTAGGCATCCACGTCTGGACCAGGCTCCTGGAAGAGTGACTGCTTCCGCAAGGTGAGCCGAGCACATTTGGGACACGTGGTGGAGTTGTCATAGTAGCAGTCCCTGGGGGCAGGGAGGGTGGGGTCAGCCCCAGCAAGGGTCTGGGCTCTCTGCCTGTGAAATCCTACCACTGAGCATTCCCAGACTTCCTAAATCAGGCCTTTCTATCCCCCTTCTACGGATGGGGAAACAGACGCAGTTTCTCCCAGAGGGCAGAAACCAGGTCTGCACCAGGTGCACCCAGGCCTGGGGTTCAGTGCCTCAGTGCAGGCCCCTCCTCCAGGGTCCACACCCTGCTAGCTGGTTACCATCCGACTTCTGCTTGGAGCTCTCAGTGTCTCGGCTTCCCTACCTGTTCCTACCACCACTGCACAGAGCCCCCACCGGGGCACTGGGGGTGCACAGGGTCCTGGGACCTGCTGGTCCACAGAATCCACGGCTGGAGCATCGTTTCCGCTACAGTCCTTTCTGTGACAGCCGTCCCAGGCTGCAGCATCAGTGCTTGCTAGGACGGACAGCAAGTGCCCGACAAAAATCCACGTGGAGAGAAATGGGAGGTGCCCATCTGAATCCAGCGTGAGGCATCATGCAGGGCCCAGCAGGTGCACATCGACAATTAGTAACTGTACTGGTTATTCTCCCAAACATCCACTAGGTCTTTTTGTCATAAATGCTTACGTTGTTTGAAGCTAAGTACTTAATAAAAAATGTTAGGTATTTCTTTTGGCCTAGGGATGTTTGAAAAAACCACTGAGACACCGTGGATGTGAGGAGCTAGAAAGCTGAGGGACCTCTGGCCTCCACTACACCTCAGGTCTGGTGGGGAAGGGGCGCCAGTCAGACACCATGTGCAACCTGGGGTCTGGGCTACACCCCTCCCCAGCCCCACAGGGGCTTGTTCCCAGTGGAACCTCGACTTCAGTCACACACATCAGGGTCTAACCCCATGTCTAGGATCAAGGCAAAGGGCTTTGAAAATCAGGCAGCAAAGACTGATGACCAAAAGCCTGTCCTCCCCTCCCTGCACACGGGGAGCCAGCACGCCCGGCTGAGGGTGGGTCCAGCCACACTGACCTGTGGAAGACGGCACGACAGTCGGTGCACACGGACGTGTGGCTGTCGAAGGGGAAGAGTACGTCACCCTCTCTGCAGAGCTCACACACGAAGCCCTTGGCCTGACACCGCTGGGGGCGACAGGGCGGAGGGCAGGTCAGTGCCTGCTCCAAAGGGCACCTGAGCCAAGGACACACTGGGCCAAGCTGCCGGCCCGCCCGCCCTGCCCTGGGGACTGGGAGCAGAGAGAGAGATGCCCCCTGGTCTGCGGCAGGGAGCCCACCTCACAGTCCAGCTTGATGTGCTTGGCGAAGAGCGTGTGGGTCTCCGTGAGGGAGCAGCCGAGGCGGCCTGTGTGCGCGTCCAGCAGGTCCTGCACGGAGTACATCTCATCGTTCTCCACAAAATGCTGCCGGTCCTGGAGCTGTGGGTCCCAGCAACCGTGACCCCAAACACCGGGTGAGGGCCCCTTCCGCTGCCCACCCACTGACACTCCCATCCTCCAGGCCCTCGGGTGCTCACGGAAGCAAGAGAGGGTGTCAGTCTCTGGGCCGAGCACCGCGCTCCCCCAGCCACGTTGGCCACCTTCTTGCTCCAGGCACCCCGCCCCGCCCTCTGCCCGGCACGCCATACCTCCTCCCGGGCCTCACCCAGTTGACCACCTCCTTTCCCTGCTTTATCATGCCCACAGACCTCACCTCCCCCTGACTGTTTGTTTTTCTTCCCCACCTGAAGTGAGGACATGGATTCCTGCTGGTTTTGTGCCCTGCTCCCTGCGCTCTAGAACAGTGAATACCCATGAATGTTTGTTGAACAAACAAACAGGTGAGCCGTGAAAAGTGTGCTTGTGGTTACTCCTGCCTGCAGAACTGTGCCTGGTCCACTACATGGAGACCCAGGTGAGGGCTGCAGGGCGATAGCCGCTTCCCTTGGTGATGGAACCAGAGAACACTTTTGTGGATGGAATGCCTGTGTGCTCACTGAAGACCTAGTGCTCCCTGGAACACAGCAGGGGAGACCCCCTGCTAAAGCACAGCACACGAAAGCTATGACGTCATCGGAAAAAGACTTGGGCACAGCGTGTCCTCACCGCCCTGGCTCTCTCCGCTTCCACTTTGCCCACCCCCCCTCCCCCCGGATTCCCAGCTCCCACTCCGGGCCAGGGGCCTGACCTGCAGGAGGAGACGAGCTTCCATGGCCTCCTTGCAAGTAATGAAGTACGGCTTCATGAGCAGGATGTCCTGGCGCAGCTTCTGTGGACAACAGGGGCCGGTTAGCATTCTCAGCCAGGGCAGGGCTGCGCCGTGGCACATCTGGGGGCCGAGGGGGCTGGCACTCCAGGTCAGGAGGGGACAGACGGTGCCTTCACATCCCCCAGGAGGCTCCCAGATCTGAGAGCTCCAGCCAAGCTCAAGTTCGAACCCCAGCTTCCTGGCCAATGCCCCCTGAGGAGCACTCATCCTCAAACACGCTGTACAAAAAAGAGAAAGAATAATGCTGTATGTTGATTATCTTGAAATAATCTTTTGGATATACTGGGTCATATAAAATATACTATTTTTTTTTTAAAGATTTTATTTATTTATTTGAGAGAGAGCGAGAGAGAACATGAGCAGGCGGCGGGGAGAGGGAGAAGCAGGCTCCCCGCTAAGCAGGGAGCTAGACCAGGGCTGAATCCCAGGACCCTGGGATCATAACCTGAGCCGAAGGCAGACACTCAACTGACTAATCCACCCAGGCACCCCCACTCACTCACTTTTTTACTTCTTTGCTTATTTCTTCACCTACTTACTTAATTTTTTTATTGTTATGTTAATCACCATGCATTACATCATTAGTTTTTGATGTAGTGTTCCATGATTCGTTGTTTGTGCATAACACCCAGGGCTCCACGCAGAATGTGCCCTCTTTAATACCCATCACCAGGCTACCCCATCCCCCCACCCCCCTCCCCTCCAGAACCCCCCGTTTGTTTTTCAGAGTCCACTGTCTCTCATGGTTTGTCTCCCCCTCCGACTTACTCCCCTTCATTCTTCCCCTCCTGCTATCTTCTTCTTTTTCTTTTCTCTTAACATATGTTGCATAAAATACACTATTAAAATTAACTTTACCTGCTTTTTACTTTTTTAATGTGGCTACTAGAAAATTTCAAATTGCCTCTGGGCCCAGTATCATATTGTGACGGGACACTGCTCTAGAGTCTTTAACCCCAAGGACAGCTGAGGGGCCCCCTGAACCTTAGCAGGTGGCATCTCTCCTCCGCTCCCAGGGCACACGGGGAGAGCAAGGTCCACCCTCACCCCTGCCCCATCCAGCCTTACCCGGATCTCCACCAGACCCTCCACATAGTTGAACAGCAGAGGGTTGATCTCTCGCAGCCTGAGAACCGGCCGAGACACCATCAGCGCCAGGTAACGCATGCTGCAGCGGGACACCTGGGGGGCATGGTGGAGGGGCACCTCCGGCATTACACACGCCACCCCCCAGAACCATGCTCCCCCCAACCTGAGCCAGGGCTGAGCACCGACTCTCCCTCCTTGGGGCCCCATCTCCTCCCCTCCCAGTCCCTTCCCCGCCCCCCAGCCTCTATACCAGTCCTTGGGCCCTGCTCCGCTGCCCTTGCCTTGCGCGGCTCAAAGTCCCAGTTGTGCACGACTCGCGCAGGGATGACGGCCAGGTCATTCCAGTGGCAATGGCTGCAGTAGTACTGGCCCGTGTAGTCACACTGCCGGGCCTCGCTGGGCACGCCTCCTGCAGACGGGATGGGTCATTACAAAGTCGGGGCTGCCTTCAGGGTCCTTGACAGCTTAGGAACCACATAAAGCATGGAAAGCATATGGGGGAAAGAGGCAGCTGAGCTGGGAGGTGCCACCCTGCAGACCTGACACAACCTCTTCTCAGCCACAGGACCTGAAGCAGATCGGGGCACCCTGCTACCCTCAGTTTTGTCATCAGTAAAATGGGACAATAACAGGACCCCCACCACGGGACTGCTGAGAGGACCCCATGGATTAACATTAGTAAATCTATGACACGTGGCACATGAATGGTATTATGTGATTTTTCCCATCTAGGTGGGCTTTCTGTGTCCATGGGGCCACACGGGAGGCTGAGTGCGGGCCAGCCCTGTGGGAACCCCTGCGTGACCTGGGCTGGAACCTCAGTGTGCTTGAATGGGGAGTGAAAGGGTGCAGGTTGGAGCCCCTCGTCACTTCCCAAGGAAGGAGAGCAGGACACCATCCCCAGGGGCCCAGCTGTCCCTAGCTGTCTGATGTATCCAATTTCCTCACAGCTGCCCAAAGCAGCCTCCCTCCCCTGCACCCTGCTCCTTCCTGGGGCACTCACGCAGAGAGATGGGCGCCCGGCACTCGGCACAACGGTAATCTTGGCTGTCCAGCCCTGTCTCGGGGCAGATGTTCAGCTCATATTCGGCTTGGTGGCTGACTTTGGAGCGCACACAGGGCTTGGAGATGAGGTTCAAGCACTTACTGTGACAGCGGTAGCAGCAGCCTGGGGGGCGGGGAGCATTGTGCCTTTCAGAAGGGGGGCGTCCTGCAGCCCAACCGGCCTTCAGCTCCACTCCAATTCCCACATCAACCTGAGAGCTTCTCCAGGCCCCTCTGCAGGTCCCAAAACTTCAAACACCTCGTCAGTCCCCACCCAAGCCTTGCCCTGGGGGTGTGCACAGACCTCCCTCCTTACCTCCAAAACCTGCCATTCCCTCCTGGATGCCTCAAGGGCATCAAACTCATTCTGTCTAAATGAAATTCTCGCTCTTCCTTAACAAACCTACCTCCCACACACAGTTTTCCCGCCTCAGATTTCAGTAACTCCACCTTCCCACCCGCTGAGGCTAAAATTTGTAATGTCCTCTCAACCCCCTTTCATGCCTGTTTCCAGCCCTTCGGCTAGTGCCGCACCTGGACATTTCTCACCCGAAAGGCTCCGTCCTAATCAGAGGGCCGTCATCCTCCCCCTCCCCCTCTGCCCTCCGTCCTTCAGTCCATGCTCAGCTCGGCGGCCCAGAGTGGTCCTTCTAAAACCTAGGCATGTCCAGCACCGACCCATGGCCCCCAGTGCACTTAAAGAAAAGCACATGGCCACCTCTGAGCCCACTCAACCAACCTCCTCTAGGGTGCAATGCCCCAGCCACACTTCTCTCTGCGCCATACTGAAGACACTGGACACACATTAGCCACAGGGCCTTTGCACAGAACTCCCTCACAGGAACATTATTCCCCACATATACTCCTGGCTTATTCCCTGACTTCCAAGTTTTGCTTGAATGTCACATGATGCCTTTTCATTCCACCCTAAAGTCACACCCATAACACTCCCTGACCCATGCTGTTCCCTTTCCTTATTATTTTTTTTTTCAATGTACTCTATTGTCTAACACACCATATGCTCATTCGGAACAGAACCATCCACAGGAATTCTCTGCAAAAATAGAAATGTCCAATATGGTGCCCACCAGCCTCATATGGCTATTGGGATAGCACAACTAAGGAAAGAAGAGGTTATTTATTTTAACTAGTTTAAATTTAAATTTGAATAGCCACCTATGGCTATGGCATACTAGAAAGCCAAATGTGGATGCGAGCCTGGTAACGGCAGGAGTTTGGGCCTTTTGTCTTGTTTTATCCCAGGTAGTCCACAAGGCTCAGTAAATACTGAGTACTGCAGAGAATTCACCCTAACACAACCCAGAGCTGCCAGGTCTCTGCCCTGCCCTCGGGGCCAGCACTGCCCACCCAGACAAAGCAGGTCTGGGTGTTGGCCCACCTGTGCAGGTGTACCAGGTCTGAATGAGCCCCCAGATAATGGTGTTACACTTGTCACAAGTTTGCTTGACACTCTTGCTCTTCTCCTTGTAGAAACGGTGCTCCAGGAGGACTCGGATGTTGGGCTCATCCTCATTGGGGTCCTGGAGAGAGGCCCGGGAGGGGTCACAGGTGAGCCGGCTGCAACTCCTTTCCCTTCCCATGAACCCCTTTACTTATTTCTTCCAGGTACCATTTACAGCAGATATTGTGAGTTTCCCCCAATGTCACACCCCCTTTTCCCTTTAGAAACAGAACTCCCCAGTAATCAGTCAGGCCTGAACCGCCCAGACGATAGACTGACTTTCCCTGCACCCAGGTGCTGTTCTGGGACGATGTTAGGGTCAAGGGTGTGTGAGTAGGAGTGATAAGGCCTTCTCTCCCCTCCCACCATTTTTTCCTGCTAAGTACAGACCCAGAGGTGACATGGGGCCATCTTGGATTCTCCACACGGACTGGCAAAGCAGCAAAAACAGAGGGCCTGGGACCTCCGACACTATTAGCTGCCACATGGGCCTAGATCACCTGTAGGATCTCCACATGAGTGAAATATCACATGTCATTCCTTTAAGCCACTGTACTTTGGGGTGTCTTTGCAACCACAGCCTTACTGACACCCCAGTGAATACTCTGCTTTCTAAGTTCCCAGGGACACATGAGCCATGCAGGGACCCAGCGGCAGCAAGTTAAAAGGGCACACACAGTCAATGTGCTCCTGTAGGTTTTGGCCTCTAGGATCCATTACCCTTACTGCTGTCCCCTTCGTGAAACACTCAGGAGGCCACCATCGCGCCCCCCCCCCCACTCTAGGTCATAAGGTTCAAGGAGGGACTGACCTCACTTACTTGAGCCAGTGGCTGGGCAGGTGCCCAAGACTGGCCAATCCAGATTAGACTAATAGAGAAATAGTCTGCACATGGGGTGAAGGCCCACCTCTGTCCCCACCTTTCTGGGTGGCTTTCTATCTCAGTCCCTCAGCTCCCCAGCCTCTAGAACTTCATTCTCACATTGCTCCAGTAGCCTCCATGGTGGGGTAGGTCAGCACCCACCTTCAGCTCCTGGAGCTTCAGCCGGAGGTGGATGAGCCTCACGACAGCGTCCTTCTGCTTCTCCGACTGCTCGGGAAGCTCCAGAATCACCTGCTTGCACTCCTCGATAGCCTGCCGCAGCTGCTGAATGTCAGAAGCCAGGAACAGACCCTGCCCAGGTTGGGGGGGGTGGTGCGGCAGGTGACAGCATCAGATGCCTACCCTGCATGCTCTCCACATGGAGGTCAAGCCAAGAGCAGACCTCCCTGCTCCTCACTTGCCTCAGTGAAGAAACTGAAGCTCAGAGGGAGGGGCCGAGGATTTGCTCAAGGCCCAGGACAGTTACCGGCACAGGCAGGAACCACCCCATGCCACCTGCCCCCCAGCTGGACCTGTCCACTCCCAGGCCTCTGAAAACCTAATTCAGGATGTTTTTCAAAACACAACTTCCTTCTTGTAGAAACCTAATCCCTTTTCTGGCTCTGCTATTTTGCTTACTTCTACAGAGCTTCCTCTTGGATGAAAGCTGGGGAAATGACAATTTGCCTGTCATGAAGGAGAGGAAGTGGCCTCCAGCTTAATCACCGAACCCAGAGATGCCCCAGGCACCCAACCACCCCTAGCACCAGCACCGCACAAGGACTCAGAGCCAGGGCCCAACAAAGGCCCTGTGCCTGGGACCCTGCTGTCAACAGGGAAGGAAGCCAGGCTCAAGTCTGAGCAGGGGAGCTGAGGCTGACCTCGCCCCAGGCAAAGGATAGAACTGCCCTCAGGAGCCACCCTCCACCTCCAGGAGACCAGGCAAAGAGGAGGTGACAACCCTACTCTGGAAGCTCAGTGTGTGGCCCCTACGAGGGGCCCAAAAATTTCTTTAATGAAGATACAAAAAACAAATACAAAATGACAAGTAAATGAGAACTGGGGGCTTCTGGGTGAATCTTTTTTGATTTCAGTTACATAAGAATGTTTCTGTTTCAAATAAAAGCTGAAGATACTTTGCATAAAAGTGAAAGATGTTCAAACTTTTTAAAAGAGATTATTAGGGCCCTTTAATTAAAAAAAGAAAAAGCTTCCATAGAACAAAAAAATTGAACAGAGGAGAGTGGCCCTGTGGCCCCTGCCTCACCCTGCTGCACAGCCACAGGGTCCCCCAGGACCCAGATGGAGCCAGCCCTCGTGTCTGCCTCCCAGGAACCGGGAACGTGGGGAGACGGATGGCCCCACACAAGAAGAGCAGCTTCAGGTCCCAAACCCCAGGTCAGCTGATCTTCCCTGGCTCCCAAACAGGTTTTGGAGATGAGAGTCAGCTGTCATGTGGGTCTCAGATTCAAGGCCCAGGAGCCCCAGCCAAGGTGGACTGGCCCTGTTGCCTGAGGATGGGGTGACAAGGAAATGGCTGGCTCCTCCTCCTCAGGGGCTCACCCAGTCCCCCTCCCACCCCAGGCCCAAACCTTACCACAGGGCGGGAAAAGTGGTCCTCAGATAAGCCGAGATCCATCACTCGCTCAGTGCAGCAGAACTCTGGCTCTCCAGGTGGCAGCTCGGGCAGGGCCTCTGCAGCGGGTACAGGCGTGGAGGGCAGCAGAGAGAGAAAGAAAAATCAACCTGCCGGGCGCCTGGGTGGCTCAGATGGTTGAGCGTCTGCCTTCATTCAGCTCAGGTCATGATCCCGGGGTCCTGGGATCGAGCCCCGCATCAGGCTCCCTGCTCGGCGGAGAGCCTGCTTCTCCCTCTCCCTCTCCCTCTACGGATCCCCCTACTTGTGCTCTCTCGCTCTCTCTGTCAAGTAAAGAGATAAAATCTTAAAAAAAAAAAGAAAAATCAACCTGCCTTTCCCCCAGAAGTAGGTTGGGGATGGGAGAAGCCCCCAGGAGGTGCTGAGGGGAGCCAGGCTCCGCCCTGGTTATCTGCCCTCTTTGCATGTGCAAAGGAACCCATATCCTAAATAAATAAGAGAGAGCCATCCAAAAAGATGAGGTGGGGGAAAAGAAAAATCTAAAAATAAAATGAAAAAAGTGGCTCACTCGGTTAAATGTCTGCCTTCAGCTCAGGTCATGATCCCAGGGTCCGGGGATCGAGCCCCATGTGGGGCTTCTTGCTCAGCGGGGAGTCCGTTTCTCCCTCTGCTGCTCCCCCTGTTTGTGTTCTCTCTCTCTCTGTCAAATAAATAAATAACATCTTTAAAAAAAAAAAGAAAGAAAGAAAGAAACCAAGAGGATGAGGTGGATACCCATGGTGCTAAGAGAGGTCCACAAAACAGTATTAGAGAAACATCCTAATTTCTCTCTCTCTCTTTTTGAATATTTTATTCAAGACAGAGAGAGCACGAGCAGGGGAAGGGGTAGAGGGAGAGGGAGGGGCATGAGCAGACTCCCCACACCGGGCTCGATCCTAGGACTCTGGGATCACGACCTGAGCCCAAGGCAGACGCCCAGTGGACTGAGCCACCCAATGCCCCAGAAACGTCCCAATTTCTGAGGCACACCTTACGTATGCATGTGTGGATTGAAGGCTGCTGGACGGTTGCACAACAGAATTTCTGGACCCCCGTGTGGACTCTAGGAGGCTTCTGCGTGCGCACACACACCCCGAACACCCTTCTTGACTGCATCTGCAGCTCTCGCAGCCCCACCCTCCCAACCCCCAGAAGGGCTGGGCCTCTGTCCAGGCCATTCCATCCTCTCCCTGACCAGATCTCAGCTCTGAGTTCCCTCCCCAAGTATTCCCTGAGTGAGTGTCTGCTATGTGCTGGGCCCTGGGACGCAGCAGCGACAAGACAGTCACAAATCCCTGCCCTTCGGAGTATGTGTCCTAGTGGGGCCACAGAAGAGGCAGAACGTGGTTTGTGCTGAGGAGCAAGGGGAAGTGGCCAGCAAGGGGCCCAGCTCCATGGGAAAGCCAGCGTGCTCCATGGGCAGAACGAGGAAGAGAGGATGGAGGTCCCAAGTGAGGGGTCAGATTGCCCACTCAGGCCTCCCCCGAGCACCTACGTTCAGGAGTGACTTCTGGGGCGTCCTCACTGGCCCTCTGCTCATGCTGCCTTGGCCCAGGCTCCTTGTTGAAGGGGTTGAGGTGGGCCTGCCGGAACCGGGCCAGCTTCTCATCATATTCCATAGCATCCAACCTGCAGGGCAGGGTAGGGCAGTGATGAGCATCCAGCTCCTAGACTCACTGCATTCCCATCCCCTCCCTGAGTTCCTGCGGTTCCAGAGGGGATGTCTGGCCTCTTTCGGTCTGCCAGCAGGGTCCAGGTGGAGCATTCCCACACCACGGCTGCCCATCCTCTGTCCCTCCTCAAACCAGCTCAGCCCTCTCACCCGGGTGCCCACTGGTAGCATCCCCTCAGGAACAGCAACCCACCCAGGGCACGCAGATGGAACGGAGGTAGGAGACGGACGCGACCTACCCAAGAGTACCCAGCCAGGCTGGAACCTAGGCCCCCCACCTCCCAGTACAGGGTCCTCATTCAGCCCCAGTCCAGCCCTCACTGCTCAGAAGGAAAGGGTTGGCGGCTCCCATGAGACAACACCTCCCAGGACTCAGTTCTCTACTTCTGGCCCCGAGCAGGGGTGCTCCTTTTCTGTCAGAGCCCCCCAGAGCCATAGCCCCTGAGCAGAACCATGCTGTCAGTGATGACTGGCAGAGGTCACAGTGCTGGGCACTCTGGAGCCATTGCCAGGGTCCAGGCATGCTCTGCCACCTGCAGTGTGGCCTTGGGCAGGGCCCATCTTCCTGGTGCCCCAGGGAGCTCTCCATCTCTGCCGGCTCGTTAGTCATCACGGAGGCCATGCTGGCCTGGATTCCCACTGATGCTCTATGTGGCCTGAGTCAGTGGCCCCACACCTCGGGATCCCAGGAACTAGGAAATGCCTAGGTCACCACCTGGCACTGCTCTCCCCTCCCAAGAGCTCAGCGGGCGGCAGAACACACAGGCTGATGGCTCCTGAGAGGGAGAAAGGGGCTTCGATTGGGGGCAGTGGTTTGCATCCCAGGTCCTCCCACTTCCTTAGGCTCTCTGCTTCCAGGGCGACATGAGTTCATAGGAAATCAGATTTTTTTTTTTTTTAACACTTTGCAGCACTTTGAGTGCCAGGTATTAGTTATGCTTTCTCTGTACCTGCTTCGTCTAAAATAATTTGTGATTATCAAACACAAGCCTATGACTCCTATCTGCACCCCCTCCAAAAGAAAGAGAACTGATCCCAGACGGACAGCCATGACAAGGGTCACCCCCAGCCCTGCCCAGTGCTGGCTGCCCTGCATCTGGGTCAGAAACGCCCACACTAACTGTGGGACCTGTCCGACCTGTTTGGCCTCTGTGGTGGGGATGTGGGTTAGGGGAGTTCCAGTCTGGCAGAACCCAGCACCTGGGTCAGCACAGGCGAGGACACAGATGCCATGGGCTATGGGCTTAAGCCTCCTCTCTCTCATTACCTGACAGCTTTGGGCAGCTCCCTCAGGGTGGCTGGGCCCTGATGACCAGCACCTCTCCAAATGACAGGTGTCACAGTGTCCCGGGAAGCACCCAGAGTGCAGGGCAGACCCAGCTGTGCCAGGACTCACTCACCCCATCTTCCCTAGTGGTGACAAAGATTCTTTGCCTGACCAGACTGTAATCAGGCTCCTGAACCTTCTCCTAGGCCATCTGGGCTCCTCCTGTAAAATCCAGTTCTAGCAAGAACCTTGCTACATCAGTTTAGCAAGAGTCCCCCACGCTGACACCCAGTCACCCTCAAATCTGCTATCACCCCCAGGTGACATCTGATCACCCCGGCCTACCCTCAGCAGAGATCTTGTCAGGTTGGTTTAGCCAGACTCCCCACTCGGCCCTGATGTGTCCCCCTCAGCAAGTGTCCACCCACTGATTTTACCCTGCTCCTTGGCTGTAAACTCTCACTTGCCCGTGCTCTATTCCGAGCTGCACTCAGTTCTATACTGAGGTCTCTTTTCCCCTACTGCAGGAGTCTTCAATAAAATCTGCACTTACTATTTTAACAACGGTCCAGGTCTGTTTTTCTTCTTTGACTGGGAGAGGGGAGCTGGACTTTTGGCTTGTCGCAATTTCCGAACCTCCCTATAGTTAGATGTGGTCATGCAACCATGTTATGACCAATGGATTTTAAACAGAAAGATCTCTTGCGAATTTTTCTTAAAAGGAGGCACTGCCCCTCTTCAGCTCTTCCCACCTCTTGCCGCCTGGGTTGCAGACGTAATGGGTGGAGCTGGAGTAGTCACCTTGGGTTTGACGCACAAGTCCTGAGCTCCTTCACCCCAGGCTTCGTTCAAGTGAGACAGAAATAAACTTCTGTTTAAACCACTCTTACTGGGAGAGGGATTTCTATCTCCTACATCTGAAACAGATCCTGACTGATCAACCCAAAAGCCTGGTGGTGACAAAATGAATTGGTGCTATTCAAATCCCAGACCTGTCAGCTCCTAGTTGACATGTACGGTCTTGGCCAAATGCCTACACCTTTCTTTGCTTTTGATTTCTCATGTTTCAAATGGGGGAAATAATAGTACCACTGTGTAGGGTTATTATGAAGATTAAATTAGTTAATGCAAAGTTCCGAGTATCCTGGCCAGCACACAGTATGCACCTGATAAATATCAGCTACAGCTTACTATTATCATTGTTACTAATGTGATCAGATAGCCCTGGGGAGCCTGGGTGGCTCAGTCGGTTAAGTGTCTGCCTTCGGCTCAGGTCATGATCCCACAGCAGGGAGTCCGCTTCTCCCTCTCTCTCCACCTGCCACTCCTCCTGCTTGTGCTCTCACTCTCTGTCAGATAAATAAATAAAATCTTAAAAAAAAAAAAATCAGATAGCCCTGGTTTAAATCCTGGGTCTTCCAGTGATGAGCTATGTGATCCTATTTTCTTGCCCACAAATGAGGAAGAATACCTACCTCCTGGGGTGGGGTAGAAGGACTAAGTATGTACTTATATATGTCAGGGGAGCCCATAGCCCAGAGTTGTTGCTAAGCAAGCCGTATCTGTCATCACACGATGACCAGCCCAACTCCAAGGAAACCTCCCTGCATTTCAAACTATGGCCAGAGATGCTTACAGGCAGGGACACCTCTGCTCCTCCCAACAGCCCTCCTCTGGGCTGGAAGCTCCCCTGGAAAAAGCATCTTTCAATTGCCTCCTTATGGGCAGTGCCAGCTCCAGGCCTGGCACAGAGGACATGGATGAAAGAATAAATGGTCATCTGACCTCTCTCGGCCTTAGTCTCTCCCCTGCCACGTTGGAGAATCATACTTTCCTCTGGGCTTCCGAGGGCAGACAAGCGAGGTCCCAACACTTAAGCCCAGGGGCTGCAGTGCGCGGCAGCTAACTTGGCCCCGCCCCCCACTGCCCCACCAGGTGCACCCCTCGGAGAGCCCCGCACTCAGATTCAGGCTGGGTCTCCGGGAGAACAGGAAGGAAGGGGAAGACCGAGAGGAATGAAGGAAACCCACGGTCCCACCTCTGCCCTCCTCTAGAGATTTCCCTTCTCTGGCAGGGGAAGAGAGGGGAGGAGGAGACAACTTAGCAATTCAAGCGAACTTCAGAAGAAAGCCAGGGGCTCATGAGGCACTGAAAGGTCCGGGGCTGAAGCTCAGGTGCACTCCTGGTGGGGCACGGCCACCAAAAAGGTTCTATTCTCACCCAGCCACAACTGGAGGTCCCTAGAATTCTCCCGGGAGGGGGCAGGGGAGTAGGTACATCCTATTTTCTCCTACCTGGAAGGAGGCCTGGCAGGACCGTGCGGGGAGCAGGGGCAGAGTTACTGCCCGTTTAAGGGTTATTTGCCACTGACTGAAGCCTGGCACAGTGGCCACGGCCGGCCTCAGGAGTGAGCCGCCCCTACGAGATACCCTCCAGCAGCTTCCCTCCCAACAACAACAAGCACACCCTCTGGGGACCCTCACCAACCCGCTCCGCGTAGGCGCGGGCCCCTTCCACCACGCCCATCCATGCCCTAGCGGAGGAAACTGAGGCCCCGCGTTCCGGGAGGGTGGCCCAGCCCTGGGAGCTGCCGCGGGCCCCACGGATCCTACAGACAGCGCGTGTGGCCGGCCGGAAGCGGTGACAGTGTCACCCGGGGAGCGGGGGGGGCGGGGAGGAGCCCCCGCTCTGGGCTGATAAACCTGCGGGGTGGGAGGCAGAGCAGGTCCCCGGCGCCCTCCGCGCCCCAGGGAGGACGGGCAGGTCGGAACCCTGGGCGCGTTCCTCGGCCCCCGCGCCCTCGGGAGAGGGGGGCTCCCCGCGCCCCGGGACGCGGCGGGCCCAGACGGCCCCCGAGGGTCGAGCGTCCCGGTTCCCTCCACCCCCAGCACCCCCGTCCCTCACCTGGCCCGCCCAGACTCCCCCCTCCGCCGCTCACCTGACCGCCGCCGCCCTCGCTACATTGTAACCCACCCCGCCGCCCTCGCTACATTGTAGCGCGCCCGGCCGCCCGCTGCTGCCACCTGCGGCCCGGAGGCTCATGGCAAGCCGGGGCCCCCGCGCCCTGGCGGCCTCCGCGTCCCCCTCCGGGAAATGGGTGACGCTTCATCCCGGCTGTTCAAGACGGCCTGGCGGACTACTGCATTTTCTATATTTTCTGTAAGCATAGAAGCCATGATTTAAATAAAAACCACAACACTTAAGAGGAAAAATGGCTGGGGCGCCTGGGTGGCTCAGTCGTTAAGCGTCGGCCTTCGGCCCAGGTCATGATCCCAGGCTCCTGGGATGCAGTCCCGCATCGGGCTTCCCGCTCCGCGGGAACCTGCTTCTCCCTCTCCCACTCCCCCTGCTTGCGTTCCGTCTCTCTCTGTCAAATAAATAAATACAATCTTTAAAAAATTTAAAAAAATAAAAATAAAAAGCCCAGGGGCGCCTGGGTGGCTCAGTCGGTTAAGCGACTGCCTTCGGCTCAGGTCATGATCCTGGAGTCCCGGGATCGAGTCCTGCATGGGGCTCCCTGCTCAGCGGGGAGTCTGCTTCTCCCTCTGACCCTCCCCCCCTCATGTGCTCTCTCTCTCTCTCTCTCTCTCATTCTCGCGCTCTCTCAAATAAATAAATAAATAAATCTTAAAAAAAAAAAACACATCAACTCTAAAAAAAATAAAAAATAAAATAAAAAGCCCAGTGGTTGAGGGGGGAAAAAAGGGAAGAGGGAATCGCTGTGCAGACAGCAGCTGCTGGTGCTCATCTGCACGACCCTATGAGGTCTTCACCGCCGTTGAGCAAGGGACGTGCTGTCATTCTACCCCACTGTACAGAGGAGAAAACTGAGGCACAGTCCGCTTAGGGGAAGGATCAGGAGAGGATGGGTTAGGGGGATGTTGGAGAAGCCTGTGTCTGAAGCAGCTGGTATTATTACTGCTTTCCAGGTGTGCTCTGCCCCTGCTTTGTTTCTCTCCATATTCCTCACCACTGCCTGACCTCCTCTGCCTCATACAATTTTACTTGTTGTCTGTCTCCATCATCACCCCTCCCCCCACCAGAAACCAAGGGCTACAGGTGGGAGTTTGGTTTCCTTTGTTCACGGCTTCTTGCCTAGACCAGCGCCTGCACAAAGTAGGTGCTTAGTTACAAGGACTGCGGAAGAAGTCCCCGAGAGGGCCAGCCTTGAGAAGAAGAAGGGCTCAGCGGGCGGGTGTGTTAGCACCAACTATTGAACGGAGTCCGCGTCGGCCACACTTGGGTACTGTGACAGTGGTGAGAAGCCACACAGCCCGCAAGGAGCCAGCCAGACGGACAGTATGCAAAGGTGCAATTTAACGAGAGATATGGTGAGCACCGAGGCAGAAATAAACAGGTGACAAGGTAATGGACAAGGCCAGGGGAGGAGAACACCATGCTCAGGCTAAGACCCAAAGGGTAAGAAGTTGAGACGCACAGAGGAGCTGTGGAAAAGCATCCAGAGGGAAACCGCAAGTGCAAAGCCCTTGAGGAACTGAAAGAGCCCAGTGTGCCCGCGGAACCGAAAGCAGGCCTGTGCGGCCAGAGTTTGATAAAAGTGGAAGACCAGTAAAAGGTGAAGTGAGGGGCAAAGCTGTAGTATTTGTAAACACATTGGCTTTGATTTGTGCCAAGACAGGAGCCATTGGAAGCTTTATTGAAGTCTAACAGACGTACAATAAACCACACATGTGTAAGTGTACAATCTGATAAGTGTTGACGTATGCAGACACCGGAGAAACTGACTAAGCTTGTCAACCTGGCCATCATCCTCAAATGCTTCCCTATGCCCTCTGCAATCCTCCCTCCCTGTCCCCACCTCTATCCCCAGGCAACCACAGATCTGTTTTTGGTCCCTGTGTTGCACTGCATTCCAGAGTTTTATAGAGATGGGATCTTATCGTAGGTACTCTTCTTTTGTTTGGCTTCTTTTAGTCAGAACAATATTTTGAGACTCTAACTGCAGCAGGTGTCAGGTGTCAGCTTATTCTCATTGCTGAGTAGGATTCCACGGAGTGGATGGACCACAGTGGGTTTATCCATTCACCTGTCGATGAACATCTGTGCTGTTGTCAGTGTTTGCTATTACAAAGAAAGCCACTATAAACATTTGCGTATAATTCTGTGTGGAAATACGCTTTAATTTCTCCTTGATAAATACTTAGGAGTGGAATGGCTGGATTATATGGTACGTGTGTGTTTAACTTTCTAGGAATCTGTAAAACTTTTTCCCACGGTGGTTGCGCTGTTTCACATTCCCATTAGTGTGAACATTCCGGCCCCTCCATGTCCTCACAAACATTTGATGTCATCAGTCAGTCTCTCCACTAGAGGATTTTGAGCAGAGTAGTGGCATTATTTTTTTTTAATTTTAAATTTTATTTTATTGTGGTAAGTACACTTAACATGAGATCTACCCTCTTAACAGATGTTTAAGTGCACCATATAGCATTGTTAACTATAGGCACAAATTGTATAGTAGCTCTCTAGAACTTACTCATCTTGCATAACTCAAACTGTTCTAGTTGATTAGCCGTTCCTCCCTGCCCCCTGTCCCTGGAAACCACCGTTGTGCTCTTTGCTTCTATGAGTTTGACTATTTTGGGTAAGTCACATGAGTGGTATCATCCAGTGTTTGTCTTCCTGAGTCTGGCTTATTTCATTTAGCATAATGTCCTCAAGGTTCATCCATGCTGTTGCTTATTGTGGGATTTCCTTCTTTCACAAGGCTGATAGTATTCCACTGTATATACCAAATATTCTTTATCCATTCATCTGTCAACAAACATTTGGTTTGTTTCCATATCTTGGCTATTGTGAATAATGCCGCAAGGCACATGGAAGTGCTAATATCTCTTTGAGATCCTGATGTCAATTATTTTATTTTTTATTACTTTTTAAAGATTTTATTTGTTTATTTGACAGAGACAGAGAGAGCACAAGCAGGGGGAGCAGCAGAGGGAGAGGGAGAGGGAGAAGCAGACTCCCCGCGGAGCAGGGAGCCCGAGGCGGGACTCGATCCCAGGACCCTGGGATCATGACCTGAGCCGAAGGCAGACGCTTAACTGACTGAGCTGCCCAGGCACCCCTGATTTCAATTATTTTAGATAAAAAGCCAGAAGGGGGATTTTCGGATCAAATGATAGCTCTGTGTTTAATTTTTTTAAGTAACCCCCATACCATTCTCCATAGTGGCTGCACATTTTGCGTTCCCATAAACAATGTGCGAGGGTTCCAGTTTCTCCACATCATTACCAACACTTGTTGTCTTTTATTTTTCTGATAACAGCCATCCTAACAGGTATGAAATGGTATTTCATTGTGGCTTTGACTTGCATTTCCCTGATGATTAGTAACATTGAGCATCTTTTTAAAAAGTTTTTTTATTTGTTTATATTTCTTTATTTTAGTAATCTCTACACCCAGAGTGAGGCTCAAACTCCAAACCCCAAGGGGTGGTGGAATGCTAGCAATTCAGCCCCCAACCTCTTCCATTCAAACTGTAGCCCTACCACTGGCAGCTGGACACCCTGGGGCGGTTTCACTTGTCTCCTGCCTCAGTTTCTTCATCTGTAAGCACCTGCTTCCTAGGGTCACATAAGGAGCAAGCAAGTGGGTGAAGAGCTAGAAACCAACTGGTCCACAGAAAAGGCCCAGGGGCAGGGCTGCTAGGGGGCGCTAGGCTAGGATTACTGGATTTAGCAACGGAAGCATAATTGCTTACTATAATCATGCCCCCAAGTGGAACATTATTTGTCGTTTATCTGAACTTCCAATTTAACTGGGCATCCTGTATTTGCTCTGGCAGCCCTACCTGAGCATGAGGTCATCTCCTAGCCCCTGAGCACCGCCGGCAGGGGACCAGGCAGTGGGTCAGGAAGGGGTGAGGCTTCTCCCCCATGAAGGCTGGGAGTGTGCCCAGGTCTGGACACCCCTGGCCCTTCACCTAAGCTGAAATGGACAGGTGGAGCGGAGGGCGAAGCAGCCAATGAAGTGGCCGTCCTGAATGCCAGCCAAAAGGGTTGTCCACACTGGATGGTGCTGAGCCAGTCAGAGCCCTGTTAGGAGGTTCAAGCGAGACAGCAGCCACTGAGCTGGCCTCTCCTATGCCCTCATGCCCATGCATCTCTGCAAACAAATTCCCTTTACTAATAATAACGGATCCATTTAAGAGCAAATGTTTATGGCCTTTATTATGGGTCACATGCTGGTCTAGCCCCTCCCCATGTGTATTTCTATTTTCAGTTGCTGCATAACAAACCACTCTGAAATTCAACGGCATAAAGCAGCGGTCATTTCATTGGGCTTAGGGATACTGGGGATCAGGGACACACGTAGAGCCCAGGGCGGACTTGGGTCTGCCCCCCCCCCCAGTGTCTGAGATGGAGGGAATGAGGAGTGAACATACACTGGCGGCAAACAGCAAAGACCTAAGTTACTCTTCATAAGAAAGTAAAGCGGGAGGCTCATGAGGGAAAACCCGCTGGCCGAGAGGGGGGTAGGCTGGGAAAGAAAGCATGAGGCCCCTGCTACAGAAGACCTCTGGGGGGCAGCAGAGATGAGCTCTGGGGAGGAGAGATGGACTGGGGGGCTGGAGGTGCTGGGGTCCCTCTCCTTCACCTCCCCACATCACCACCAACACAATCCCCCCCAAAATGCACACCACACATTTGTATTAAGTTGCGCTGTGGGCCTTGGGAGGAGGAAGGAGGGGATTGGCCTGACAGCCAACTCCCACAAAGGCAGCGTGGCCCAGGGAGGCCAGGCTCACGTGAGTTCTGGTGGGTGCCAGTGCTCAGAAGGGAAGTACAATTTTTGGCCATTTTCAGCCAAATGGAGAGGTGCGTAGCCATGGGCCGGACACCAGGCTCTGCCACCTGTGTCAGCTGGAAAATGCCTTCACTTCTCTGAGCCTCCCTTTCTTTTTTTTTTTTTAAGATTTTATTTATTTA